GGCCACCCAATATCTGGAGTATGTTGTCGACATCTGTTAGAGATTTAAAGGGATAACTGATCCGCTTTTCAAATCTCCGCGCGTCCCTATCAAGCTGGTTAATACAGGAAGGAATCCAGAGCTACCAAGTAACCGTTAAACAATAATCTACTTTAATGGTAATATGACAATGCAATACAATCATTACAACATAATATATTACAATTATATTGTAATGGTTAAGGAGTATGCCGGCCTACTCCTGCCCTGGTTCGCGTGCTGCGGAGATCCTTTCGGTCGGGGCAGCATGTGAAGAGAGACCGAACGCCAGGGATCTCCAGGAGATATACCAGAATAAGAAGGAGGGGTTAGGGGTTAGGTCAGCTGGTGATCTTTTCAGGTCATCTCATTGGGAGACGCAACGCAGCAGGAAACCAAACAGGCTCACTTTCCAACAAAAGGTCTCAAGGCCTGCATACCTACACCTCCCCCACAGAGCAATAAAACCCTGTTTACTCCAACCAGCCCAGAATGTTTATAGCCATTTTTAGTCCTTACATTTATGAAAGGATAAAACAGAGAAATCAATATAAAACACAAACATGGGTATTGTTTGAACAGTATTCACTTAACTGCTACTATTGATAACCACCAGAGAAACCCAAGGGACCTCTCTTAATATCTATCTGGAATTTGCAACAAGACTTTCTGCCATTTCAAATGTAACACATTTCTTAAATATCAGATGATAATACTCTACACATCCAACCATATATATACGAGCCTCTGATGTCGAAGAGGAAATACAAGGAAACGTCACCTGATATCACCGATGAAAGTGCTGATGGCGATGATTCAAGTTCGCCATCTGAGGAAGAGGCCGAGGGTGCTGAGAATTGGTGTAGATGTGGAAACTGCCAGACCATGCCTACAAGCCGAGAAAACAAGTGCTGCCACAACTATGGGAAAGTGAAGGAAGAGATGGGAGAAGAAGTCTGCATCACCGACTGTAGGACGTTCGACATTTTCCGTTATGAGTGGAGGAGCGATGAATGAGCTGCAGATAAACTACAATGCTAACCGTGAATTACCCCCGAGCGAAAAATGCTAACCTATCACTCCTAGCGCCCTTATTACTTATCCTAGCTCCACATCCAACACATTGTTTATGATCGTAAAGACACAGAATCTAACGGTGCCCACCTCTATAAGCAATAAAACTGCAATTCCGTTATCTGCGTTATCTGCTGTGCTCCGTGCGCTTTGAAATCTAATCAAAAGTTGTTCACCTCAATTCTTTGGCGTTTCTGCATCGCCCGGCTCTTTCGTTCTTTCAGTGGTTTCTTGTGCTGAAATGTGGAGGGGACGGCTCCGGGTTTCAGCCTCCGACGTGCTATTAATGCTTCTCCACCAACAGACTTCATGATAGCAGGATCAACGTCGTATGCATCACACGCGAAGTGGTCAGAACACAACTTGCTCCATTTTGTCGGTTGCCATCCAACACGATTCACTAAAAAAAATCAATTTTTTGCGGATGATTTGGTCTTTGGGAAATGCATGTAAAACTCTCCCAGATCCCGCACCGTTCGTACAACAAAAAGCTCAACAATAACCCATGTTAATTCAGTTTTCTTTTCGAAAAACATGTGACCAAGACTGCCGAGTCGGGATATTTGGTCCAGAGACTGTTTGGCCACTATTACGTCACGCGCGCGGAGGCTGCTGGGAATTACATGTCAGAAATTCAGACAGCTTTGGGTCGAGTTTTGGATCAATAAAAAGCTTTTTTTTGGGTGTATTATCTCGATTTAAATAAAAAATATATATACGCAGTCTTAAAAACAACATTTCTATAAAAATGTAGCATATTTGGAAGCTTTGCATTTGATCTTTAAGAATGATTTCACACCATCCCCTAACATTATGGAGGAAACAGAAAGCTTTCAACTTTCCTCAACTTAGCATTTAGGGTTAAATACAACACAGGACTCACTGCATTTGTTTTCCATCAATCTGTAAAACTTAAATAAATGAAAACAAATGTTCTCTCTGTTCATTTCCATAAAGAGAAGATCAATCTAAAGTTCACACATTGTAAACAACTGTTTCAGTGTAACAGTTACTGTCCAAAGCTATAGAAACAACATAAGATTCCTACTTTGAACGACAAAACCCTAAACTCACTGCTATAACAAAAGCAAACAAACATCCAGTAGTATTAATAACGTCTTAGCGAAATGCCCAGTGATGCAGTGTATACGTCTTTTGTTGTGAAGGAGCTTGCGGCTTGGGGCAGACATAATTGCAGAATGAAAGCAAGGCTAAGGGAACCAATCTAAATGCTGATGGGGTCATTATTTTAAAGCCATTACATTCTGCAATCAACATTTACGTCATAATGATAGGTAAAAGCACAAATGTTATTTAGTGCCACATTAAATGCAAACAAATAATAAATGAATCAATAAGGAAAATGATTGATTTGTGCAAGTAGATGATGAGCTGCTATATTGAAGATTATTAAAACATACAACTGAGTATCACTAAAGAAAATCATAAAACGAGCAATGTTGTCAACATATTCACAATGAATGAATCATAACATCCTGATGGGAAAAGTCCTAACTAACCCTTGAGTCATATATTCTCCGGTCTGCCACTCACTGGGCATCAGGCAGGATGTTATAGTATACAATGATTACAACTTGGGCAAAAGTGTAATATGGAAATACACACGTTTTACTGTAGCACCCCCACGTTGATAAAATGTACAATGTGTATAACATGTCAACATGCATGACCCATTGTAGAAATATTGAGCATGGCAGCTTGGAGGGAGCTGAGTCGAAACAACAGGTCTACAACAGCTTTAGGTTACGTACCATCAAACATATCATTTGTGTTATTTTGGCAGTTTAGACATTTTATCAAGACTATGGGGGTGTGGCAGGCTAAGTCCAACTTCTGCCTTAGAAGTCAAAACAAGTGTAGTCCTTTATAATTTTACCTAAATGTGCAAATGTGGAGATGTCTAAACTGTTCTGTCTAATCTGGAAAGATTTATTTTTAAAAAACAAACATGTTTTAGATATTACAGTTGTAAATTAGAATCTAAATGTCTGGATGTGTTTGACATGTTTGTCATAGTTTCAATAGATTCAATGAATATTTCAATCCAACTAAATGTGCATATTAACACAATTGTATTTATTTGTTCTAACCTAATTAGAACAAATAAGGCATATAGACAGTCATAATTATGCATTGTAATATAACACTGTAGTTCCTTCTAATGGGTCTCTGCTCTGATTGTTTCTTGTAAAGCTTTAATGGAGAGGCCTCTTTATGTGAATGTGAGGGAGGAGAGGAGAAGTTACATTAAAGTTGTTGCCATAAGTACTGGCCTATTCCCATTCTCAAATAGGTCAGGGGATACACATTCGTAAGTAAAGACATTGTCAAGCTGTGCTTTTAAAGAGGAGAAAGGGCCGTCAGAAAGAAAGAAAGAAGCATGTGAATTTATGAGCAAGCCTATATCCAGGCTATATTAGGACGAGAAAATGAACGCAGCGACTGATGCATTGTGTAACATCATGCCAAGAATATATATACATTTAACCGTATGCTTTCACAACAGTGCATACAAAACAAGCTACATCCAAAATACGTATAAATGAACATCTATAAATGCTGATGTGTGTCAAAAAGGAAAGGAACATCTCAAACCAGGGATAGAAGACTAATAACACCTTGCAGAAATGATATTGCAGAGTACAGACCCAGAGTTATAGTATGAGGACAAGGTCCAACAACATAAACAAAGAGAAGCCTCTGATCACACAGGCAGTCTGACACTTAACGTTACTTCCTGTACGAGCAGATGGACGTGTAATGGAAACCATCACATGGTTCAACGAGAAGGGGCTTAGCATCTGATCCAGATATTGATCTAAAATGACCAAGTAACAGCAGCAAGAAAAAACACAGCTCCATGGGAGAGCTCACTCCTTTTACACTTTGAACTTTAAAAGCTATTCTGATTCTTGTCATCACATTGTTTGCTATACAAGTGATTTTGTATAGTGGGCATACCATAATACATATTTAAAAAAACAGGGTTTCACAGTTTCATTGAATTCACTTGAATAATAGTAACAGTTATTATTGAATAAGAAATTAAATGTACAAACTGACAATATAGGGAATGATGATAGGAATATTAAATGTTATAAACATTGATAATATCAACCCTTTACATATTATGTTATCATTCATTAGCCCAAGGCTACGTTATATATTAAAGAATCCATATCTCACACACACACACACACACACACCATATCTCACACACACACACACACACACACACACACACACACACACACACACACACACACACACACACACACACACACACACACACACACACACACACACACACACACACACACACACACACACACACACACACACACACACACACACACAACACACACACACACACACACGACTGGATTGGTGAGTGCGACCTTAAACGGGTGATTAAAACGTGTTGTTAGAGGTACAAGCTCTCTGCAAACGAGGATAAAATCAAATGAAAATGAATAAATACGTATTTTTAAAGTTTCATATGCTACTGTGTAACTTGGCAAAGCCGCACCACCCTTCGTCCTGGACAACCTGCGCATTTCCAACCGTAAGTGCTGAGGTGAAAGCTCTTGCAAATAGGATGGAGATCAGTATGTGCTCAGCGGGGATTGAGACAAAGTAGCTGCATTACTAAAGACCCAGACCGTGTGACCGCGAGGCAGTCATCCAAGCCCCACCATAACCGGGACATCCAAAAACATGCTGATGAGCGCACGGAAATGAGGAAGGACATCGTTAAATCTTGGCGAGGGAATTCATAGCGGACCTAACAAAAAGTAAAAGCATCACATTGTACTGCATTCCGCAATATAAGTGAAGCTCAACCTGGAACACGCCATTAAGACATAAAGCATCCTTTTTCCTCCTACCTCTCTCAGTATCTCCATCCCACTCAGACTTCTGGTCCTGATGATACGCTACTGCTTTGCTCCAGCATCCTAAAGCACTGTTATTCGACTAGGGGGGAGGAAAACATGATGGTTAGCGCAACTGGGCTGACGTAGCACCTGACGAGACAAAGCCGACCAATCAGAGTACAATTCGATGAATCCTTAACCAATCCGCTTAAAGAAAGAAATTGAGGACTGCAGAGAGTAGTAGCAAGCTAGGTTGACGCTGTGAGAGAATTTCCAGGCAACTCCTGCAAACTGTTTCACACCAGACACACATTTCACTCATATGTCCTGTCCATCTGGGGAAGCATCCATTCACACAGTGGGCCAAGTCTGTAGGGGTCATTTATGTTATCGTTTATCCGAGAAAAAAGGGCTTTTTCAGGCTGAATATATATATGGGTCATTCCAGAATTGGAGGACAATTTAGACACCAACATTTTTGAAAAATGAACCTTTTATTTTATAATTGTTTTTTATGTATTTAGGAAAAACATAAAAAACCATCAAAAAAAGTGATTTGCCCAGCTAGGCATCAAACGTATATTTTCCAATGAAGAATTACCCCTGTTACTCTAATTAACAGGGTTGAAAGTAACAAGGTTGAAAATCAATGCTAATTTGAGCTTTAACCTCAGGAATTATTGCTAGATGTAGCATGTAATGCTACTTTCAAGGCAAGGACAAACTTGGATATCTAATGCAAGAAAGATAACTTTGAAATTAATATGCTTTATTCTGATAATATCAGTAACAGGGTTGAGTGGGTCAGATTCCCACACTCTTTTAAGACTGAAAAGATTGTAAAAATATGAAAAATAAAAGAGAGGACTTAGTTGTGTTCTACCCATGGCACAAGCACATGGCTTGCTGATGTCACTTCCACTGTGTCATCTGATTTAGTTTTTTCACTTCCTGTGCCAATCTAAAAAGGTTTGGTTAACAGGGTTGAACGCATGTTGAGGGACACACCTTCTGTGCAAAATTACTGTTATTTAAAATATGTTTATGATTTAACAAATACATTTGACCATTACAGGAGAAATATCAATAGAATAATACCAAAAAAAGTAAGTAAAATCCCTATTTTAAATGTTATATTTGACATGCAAGTTGGTCACCAAGAAGTGGGGACAAGAGAAAAATGCCATTTTAGGGGATGTTCGAGAGCTATTTGATCATTTAAATTATTTTATTATTTTGAAACCACTTTTTCTACAACTTTATATACATTTTGTCTCAAGACAAGTATGTTTAACACAACAAGTGCATTTTTTAGCATTTTGGGCATGGATTATTAGATTTTTTATATGGGGGACATGAAATGTCCTCCAATTCTGGAATGACCCATAAATATATATACAATATTTGAACAAAATAAAAACACAAAATGTAAAAAAATTCAAATAGAAAACATACAAAAACGTAGAATTATTACATGCCGTTTATTGGCCCAGGGTGTACTGCGGATGGGCTGTCCAATCTTTAAATACAATATTTATTTAGCCAGAAAGTTAAAATTGAGAAACAAGATATTTTCTGATAGTCCTGGTTAAGCACATTTCTTATAACCACAATTTCACATGTAAGAACATGAAAGCAACGCAAGGGAACTAGTAAAAGAGGGGAGACATAGCAGTGATCACATTTTACCTGAGTAATAAGTTACAGGTATATAAGGCAAATATAGACCGCAAAATAATCTTGTATGAGTCCCCTCAATTCCCAAGTAATCTTTTTTACGTTAAAATACTAACTCTATAACATATATTAATAACATCTACAGTTTTGTAGGTGGTCCAGGTTGGCAAAGTGTATAAGCTCGTCCTCAGTGAGGATCAGTAAGAGGATGAGTATAACAACATTTGGACATAAGCTTATTTTATAACTGACTATATAATTAAATTAAAGATTTGTGTGTATCCAATGCTGCTGTATCAACTGCTTGTCTTCAAACTGTCCCTCATTAGCCTTTTTTGTTTATTTTTCTGGCAAATTTCAATTTGTTTCCCCTACTTGGAAATGGTTTCTTATCTGCTGCAGGCCCACCCGTGCTTTGAACTTGAAAATCCCCTCCAAGGTGGGAACAGCTTCTAAAGGAGATTACACTGATGGTGTTAAAGGGATCTTGCTCCTGTCTCCATGTAGTCTAATTCAAGCTGACACACACCTGTGAAAGAACATCCTCTTTGTGTCTGGTTTGGAAGATTGAGCAACAGACTTTCAAAGAGACACATGAGACAATTAAAATCAATATTTGTATTGCCATTGGATCAGCAATAAAGTGAGAGAACCAGCCTGACGGCATGACAGAATCAGGATATTTCTTGTACAAAGCAAGGTATAACTGTCTAATCTAAAAAATAAAATTCTTCATTGCAAAATATTTGTCGTTCAATATAGGATACAAATGTCCAAAACAAACATGATTATCACCAATTCAACTTATATTATATACTTTCAATATTATAAATAAATAATTTTAGTAGTCTGCACACCAGGTGCTAAAAAAAAGGCAAATTCAGACATGTTGATATGTTGAAAGATAAAAGACCTGACAGAATAATACAATAGAGAATATCTCCATGAACCGGCATACAGAGGGAAAAAATGGAGTGCATTGAACAATAAACCAATTATTTTAGGGAACATGGATGAAAAGGAAACTGATCGGATTTATATTGTACAACTTGGTTGAATTAAGGGACTAAAACTCTGTCTTAATTCCACACAATAATTTAGATATAAAGCAACAAAAACATTTATTTTATTTGATCTAGACTTTAAATGTGTCTTAAAGCTGCTCCTAGCTATATTGTTATCAACTGGTCCATCTACGAGTAACATGACAGTTGTTATAGCAGTTTACCTGATACACTTTTTCATTTCTACATCCACTTTCAATACTTATATCTTGATCGCACCAGTACTTACTCAGTTACAACCTGCTTTTCCTTATACATTCCATTTAAAAGTATTTACAGTTTGCTTCTACATCCTCACTTTTCCTGTTCCTTTTTTAAAATCACTTAACTGCATAACCTTCAAAAAAACACTTCCTTAATCGAACCAACAGGACAGTTTCTCCATAGCATCTTGTGTACCTCTCCTTATTTGTGCTTCTTTGAGTTTATTTAACTAAACTGTGAGATTGGGTGATTTTATTTCAAAGGACACTTTAGGAACAGCCTTTCTGTGTTGTTGTTTGGGTAACTTGGGGGAGTTGTGTGAAGGGGGGCCAATGTGGTTTATTTAGCTGAATGTCATCTTCTATTTTAAAGGCTTTCATCTGGGGATCAGCCTGTGGGGGCCAAACTACAGATATTTTGTTGCTGTGTGGTTTGCCTTCATCGTACAATTTTGTGATTGCGTTTTCACCGCTGAGTGTTTTGTCTATTGAAGCTACGCTGCTCACAGAATATCTCCATTCGAGATTCTCATCTGAGGGGATAAGTCCACCACTTCCTGTGGGAGGTTTCTGCCCGAGTCCATTATTGTAGTTCCCTTTGGATTTGAGGAGCTGCTTGTAGTGGTGTAGACAGTAGTAGTGTCCATGGAGAGAGACATAGTTCCCTAAGCTTCGAGAGAAAAGAACATTGTTTATTTTAGAAAAATAATAATAACCTCTATTATTTTAAACATTTTACTGTCACTTAAAACACTTATGCATATACTGATTGGTGTTGGAATGTTTAATTGTAACTATGGTGAGTATTTGTTTGAATGAATGCAATATTTACCTTAATTTATTCCTGCAGTGCTCACAGCAGAAACATGATTTATGGTACTTATTTTTGTCCACTATCAGAGCATCCATCGGATAAGCTCTCCTCCGACATACTGTGCAGAGCTCTGACTTCGGAACTCGAACCTGTTTGAAAGAGATAAAATGCAAATTATATATTTTTCATTAATCCCATTTGAATGGCTTTCCTTTGGGCTGCTTGACAATGCAACACCTATGGCTTTCCTTTTATCGACAAATAGTTTATGACTTATTAGTACAAACTGTAAAATATATTGCATTTGTACTTGATATGGCCCATTCATTTTTTCAATATGAAAATATACAATGGCCATGAGAATGAATGGTATTGTACCTTCCTCTGGATTTTTATTGTTTTCACTCATTTTCGTACATGCTTGCATGAATTTCTAAGCATCTCTCAAATGCATTGTTAGTGAGGAATACAAATAAGCTGTCATCGGGTGCAGTTTTTTTCCAGACCTTACAATTAAATGTCATGGTATTTTTTGATAAAGGCGTGTGTTATCATTACCTCATCACAGGTATGAATACTTCATTGATTGAATACCATGACATGTGTTTGAAAGATTCAGAAAATGAAAGTTATCGTGATACAAGATAATTTTGTTAAACTATACTGAGTTAGTTAAACATTTAGTTGTATAGCAGCTTGGCTCAATGGATGTCGATGTTGATTGGTCCATCAATTATTGGGTCACTACAACTACTAATGGACAGATTTCAATGAAGGTTACTGGTAAAAGAGCACGTCACTTTTCCACTTGGGCAGTTTTTATGACATTAACATAATCTTCAGATAAAATGTATTGTTATTGCTAATAATGAAAATGCTAATGTAGCCTAAAAGCACTGCTGAACTAAAGCATCAGAGCTGTAGACTCTTATTCTTGTTACCAACTATTTTTGTTTTATAGAAAAGCTTTCACAATTCATACAATGCAGTAATTAGAAATGCTTTAACACACCACAAACAGACATTCAAAGAAAACTCGTCCGTCCCTAGTCCATGCCATTAGTTTCAGTTTGTTCATGCTGGATAGGTCTTTACCAGATGAGACGATTTTCGAATGATGTGACACAACTTGGGATGTTGTCTCCGCAGAAGTAGAGTAGCCAAGACTCTTGAAAACAGATTCACTCTCTGTCCATGTTTTGTGAAAATTACTCAGCAAATTGTCAGTAGCATCGTCATCGAAGATTTCTGCTAGCTTCGCTTCTGCAGCCTTTTTTCTAACTGCATCAGCGTAGGAAAAAGGAGCTTGTTGGGTTGACACACTCTCAGAGTGCCCTGTGACAGCT